TAGCAGGTCAAAGCCAGCTATCACCAAAATGGTAATGTTCAAATACACAGTCTTCTTTTAAAGTTGCTGCAAAATCCTGGATTTGGCTAATCTGGAATACAAGGTCAACCGTTATCATCTGCTCTAACACTTGGCTTGGCTTTGCTACAAGATATTGACGTTTTTGGCAACAATTAACATCCTCGTGATGAACCGCTAATTTAGAAAATTTTATTGTCAAAATAATTATTGAAATCGTATAATAAAATATGAGAAATATGAACATTAGTTTGATTTGGCATGGTACTATCTCAATTACACAACAGAAACATATATTTGTGTGAAGTCATCTTGTGAAATAGTTATTGAAAATTGTATTAAAGGAAGAAAAGAAAAAAAAGCTCACTTTCTATAATGAAAAACTCACTTAATTGAGGCTATTAAATTGAAAGCTGAATTTATATATAAAAGAGAAACGCATGAATACATGTTATAATATTTTTTTTTTTAGTACAAAAGATTATGAGAGGGAGCCTGCCCATATAGGTGAAGGTGAAAGAGCTCAACCAACTGAGCTATACCCCATTAGCAAAATACTCCTTTTAAATCAAACGTATGGATAAATTATATTTCAACATCATGGCTATTGTAATCATCTTATATAAGAAAAAGACACTGATTTTTACAAATTATCATTACAACACACTGATTTTTCAAGGCATCACCAAAACACCAAATTCACTCTAAATAAAGTGTGTGGGATGTTATATCTCCAAGAATATCAATAACGAGAGGTCACTGTACTTATCTCCTTGCCTTGCCAACAAGCACAACTAACTTACATCAGCTCTGAGAATAGAGTACACATAGAAAACAACTTGCAAAAACTATTCTACTTATGGTGATGATTCTGAGACTAATCATTAATGTCTCGAAAGTAATCTTACAATATCTTATAAGTTATAACTGCATGAATTTGACTACAATAGTCTTATATATATATACTACATTGCAGTCTAGGAGAGAATTCCAGTGCTTGACACAAACGTAGATATCCTATGCTTTTCACGCCCTCTCGGGTAACGATCACATCCTTGCACATCCTCCTGGGCAATCACTAGAGGTGTCCAAATACAAGGACAGAAACTTGACTTAAACCAAGTTAAACTGAAAACTAATTCATGTGTATCTCAGGAAGTGATTCCAAAAAGTTTTCTCACATGTTAAATAGGACTTGGTCACCCAGGAGAGATGGCATGCTCATGTATGGAGATAATTGGCTGCCATCATCAACTCCAGCACCAATTCAGGTTCAATATGAAACTCAGTCTGCTTCCCACTGTCAAAAGAACAACATGACAAGTCAATAATAGGGAAAAGGAGAGTAGATGAAAACCAGCCTTCTGACCACGCTCTCAAATTTGGATTAGTTCCAACAAACAACCTTGGTCAATTCAACTTTCCACCATTATCTTGGTAAGAATCCAGCAATTGAAATTGGCACAAGAGACGATACGCAGAACATTCTAATTATACCGTCTCCAAGTCCAGCAGTCAACAATCAAAATCCTTAAATCAAGCATGTAGACCTAACTAACGATAAAAAGAAAGGGAAGGAAATACTGTTATAAAGCACTCGAAAAACTTCGCTAACAATATAACATGTCAGACTGAAAGATCCTAGGGTCTCTAGCAGCCTAACATGCAAACTCTAGCAACCTACTATGCAGACTATTTCGAGGGGCCACTGATCCCAGCATAATTCTTAATGTTAACCATTGATTAGGCGAATTTTTGTTTGAATGGGCGGTCTAGAAAGGCAGTTTGGAGAGCACAATCTCCACTAACTTATTCCTGGTTCAATATAAATTTCAATTCAGAAACCCATCAATCTTCTAAGCAATAGCATGGATGCTGCAAAAATAATTATAAGCAGAATAAGGGGGAAAGCAGAGGGAGAGAATCTAAACCTTGCATATTGAAGGTTCCAGTAAAAATACTTGCAGATCTTCTCAAGAATGGTGGTGCTGATCTCAGGGAACGTCACCTCGCCGTGCTCCGTTTCAGCAAAACTCCCTACCAAAAAAACCAAGCCATGTGATTTCAAACCCTAATCCCCTAATTGCTCCTCAGTTAAAACCAATTAGACAGAGAAAAGGCCTTACCTGGAGAAGTGAGCATGTTTCGGATGGTCTGAGAGACCATGGCGGCGTCTTTGTGGATCACGAACTCGAAGCCCTCGGCGCTGATTAGTTTCACAGTCTCTTCCTTCCTCATCTTGCAGTGTAAGTCGAGATTGATTTAAGTTTCGAATTGAGTGATAGAGGAGGGAAGAGATAGAATTATAAACTCAGTGAGAAAGCCTGTTTAATTGATTTTGCTTCTGCGTTGAGGTTGAAGAAGACGAATTTGTCTGATAACCTTATGGAGTTAGATTCTGGCAGCGGCAAGTTCCGTAGGACCCTTCAGAACCAAGCGCAACAGCGATATTCAACAAGCATGCGTTTTCTAGTGCGAATACATCTTTTGTTCCACAGTTTCACGTATGTACAAAAATAATTCATAAAAAATTTAAAAATAAAAATTTATGCACAACTGTTACTTTTAAAGAATTTCTAGTTTTTTATTATCAAATTTCTATTTTTTTTTTTCTAATAGGTCTTAACTTATAAACTTGTGATTTTAAGTTTGAATTTCCATAGCACATGTTCCTTATAATTTAGAGACTATCATGTGTATTCAAAATTTCTATTAAAATTTTAAGATGTTTGTAGGGTCGTAAGTAGTGCGGTTTGTTCGGTTTAAGTCTAAAATCACATTGACCAAAAAAACAAAAGTCTAAAATCACACACTAAACCAAAGAAATTGGGTTTACACTTTAAATTAGTAGTTGAACAAACCGAATAAATCTATTAGTGATAGGTTTTGGTTTGGGCAGTCTCTCTTGCTAAGAAATTAAATAAATATGATTTATTCTCGAACATATATCAAAGGAAACTTTATACCGCAAATTATATAATAGTTGTAAGAATTTCGTATCAAAAAGATGAAGATAGAGAATGACGTGAAACTGAAATAGTTTAGGGATATTAGTTTTTTGGTAATAAATGTTTAATATCAATGTGTGCGATGAACACAATAATAAAATGTCAATTTAAAAAATAATAATAATAAATTTAAGTGGTTTTCAAATAAATCAAAACTAACTAACTCAAATACATTGTGGTTTGGTTTGGTTTGGTTTGGTATAAAATTCTAATTTTAGTGTAAAAATCAAACAAATCGCTCAACTTAGTTTGGCTTAATCGGTTCGACCAGTTTTTTTTCTCAACCCTACTACTTGCAGGTCACGAGGCCATAGTGAGTGTTCATAAGCATAACACACAGGTTTTAGTGGTGAGCAATTCTTCTATGTGGCCAAAATACAGAGGGAATTCAGTCTTTGTGAGGGTGGTCACACTTCCACATGATATGAATTGCCATATATAAGAATTTCTCTATTGAGATTAGAGCAATAGTGCAAAATGTAATTCTTTTTTTTTAGACAAGCAATATTGGAGGAGGGAGAATCGAATCCAAAACCTCAGATACAAGGATAAATACTTTTAACCACTTGAACTACAAATTCCTTACTGAATGCAAATCATCTTAAAATATTACTTTTCATTAAGTTGCAGTGGCATGGCATTGGCGGCGGCGACTCGACTGAGTTTTGTTTAGGATTTGTCTGCTATCTTTACCTTTCGTTTGAGCTTTTGTGGGCTTTATGCATATGTGGGCTTTAGGCTTGTTATGGGCATTATGTCTTTTATTTGGACCTCTGGTCTTTTTGCTTTGATGTTGCGCTCCGTTTGTTGAGTCTTACTTTTATACTGTATTTTGTACCCTTTCATGAGTTTCTAATGAAAGAGAGAGAGGGTTATGGAATCTTTGTGCCAATTTTGCACCTCTAAAGTCAACGTGACGATTTGGTGGCAATATTCAGAAATTGATCATTGGACACTACGGTTAATTATTACATTTTGACTTCACATGATAGTTTTTGATCACTCACACATCCAATGATGAAACCCAATTATATTAACAAAATATTCAAATGGTTAATGATGCTTTTCGTTGCTTTATGCACACTAAAACTCTAAGCTATATATATTGTGCCCACAAAAGTCTAAACCATATATAACTACCCGTCACACAAAAGTTTCACCCCACGTATAAAACAAGGTTAAAGTAATTTAAATTCACCACATGAAAAATGCAAAGCTAAATTCATCAAGATCAATGCTGAAAAGGTTAATGGCTCACGCTTCGTGAATGTCATTAACATTTGTAAAAACAATTGTACTTTGTCAATGAATATAGATTGCTAATATCATTTGTTTGCTTTTATAATCAAACCAAACTTAGTAAGCGGTTTGGTTCGGTCATTTTTCTTCATAAACAATTAAGTAAATATTATATATTTTCTTACGTTACCTTCAATTGTGAAATCTTACCGTTATAGATGGAAAACTTTTGAGAGAGACGTTACGTTAAATTGGAATGGTTTAGAGATCTTCGTCTCTGTTTATTTTATTTTATTTATTTTATTATCTTTTTGTAAAATGCTAATCAAATCACTTGAATACCTTTGTTTGATCGGTTGAGATAATTTGTTAATATGTGTTTAGCCAACCTCTAATTTCAACAATTTATTAATATGTGTACCAAAAATTATCAACGTTTGATGTAGGTGGACACAATCAACAATTAATCGGCCGTTCATTTTGCGCTGGCGACTGTCCAAACAGGAAACAAATCTTAATTAATTAACTAATTAAAAATAATAATTAACGGCGTGGGAAAACACTAATTGAAAATTAAAAACATCCCTCTGGCACCAACCGCCAGGCCAGGCTGCCCCTGTCAGAGGTATGATTCTCACTGTCTCACTCTCACATCGACGAATGACAAAGTCCCAGTTGTCCTACAAAACGACACCGTCTTCCACCAAAGAAAGGAATCTATTTATTTGCCGTTTCAACGTTCAAAAGCCCTCCCTTGGCCCTGTCTCTCTCCACTCACCTCATCGTTGTTTCCGTTTTTTCTCTCATTTCCTTGCTCTTTGAAAAGCCCACACCACACCACAACCCTCTGCTGTGCTCTCTCCGCTCCAATTCGTGCAGTGACTTTGATCGAACACTTGGATCGCATTCTCTCCTCGATCGATTCGCCTTAGGGTAAGTCATGCGATGAGTCTCAGAATTCAGATCTAGATATATATGTATATATACATATGTATAATTTTGTGTGTGTATGGTTTTGATATGGTGTGTTTGGATTTGAATTGGTTGCAGGTCAGAGAGATCGGAGAGGAGAGGCTGTATGGCGAGTAGAGTAGACCACGAGTACGACTATCTGTTCAAGATCGTGTTGATCGGTGACTCTGGTGTGGGCAAATCTAACATTCTCTCTAGGTTTACCAGAAATGAGTTCTGCTTGGAATCTAAGTCAACTATCGGCGTCGAGTTCGCTACCAGAACTCTCCAGGCAAGTCGCCTTCTCATTTGATCTTGTTTCTAAGTCTTCTTAGTCTGTTTGTGTGTAAATCTGTGTGAAAGTTGATAAATGTTTCACTTGCTTAATTTTATTGGCGTTGAATGTGATATTTGTTTGTGATGTTTCCTAGGTGGTTTAAGGTTTGGGGTTTTAGGAGTTTGAATTCATTTGGTTGAAGTTTTGTTTGGATGCTTAAGAGCTTGTGATGATTATTTGGATTTTGTTTATGGATTTACTTTGTTTGATTGAAGATCATCAAATTTGTTATTAATAGCTTGGTGGATGGAGCTTGGGTTTGTTTCTTTTAGTACTTTGGTTTTTAGAAAATCAGAATTGGTTGTTCTGGATGCGGTACTCAATGGCCAAATAAGCTTGATGAACTGGTGGGGAAAACATCCAGTCTTCCTGTTTGATAGAAGTGGGGGTTTATTCTACACTAACGCTGGCTTGTAGAGTTCTATAGAGAGGATTGATTTTTCAAGCAGTTGCCCGTTGATGATATTTAAGTTTGATAATGAAACCAAACTTGCATAGTTTCATGGAGGTATATGCAAGAACATGTGTCTCAGTTTTCTTCATCCTTCCTATTTGGAACATAATAAGAGAGTACAAACTGATCACAATTGGAGACTAAATAACAGCCCAATGAGGTTGGGGTTTGTTTAAATCTAGTCTTGAGTTTGTTTGGTGGGTCAGGATACTATGGGTCAGTTAGTTTTGTGTTGTTCATATGGCCTGTTGATTGAACGCTTTGTATACAGACCGATGAGGACACATTTTTCAAGAATTAAGAATATATGCAGCTAATACGGTTGAATGTAAAGTTTCTCTTGTAATATGAATGGCGTAATACTGGTTCCAGAGAATATTCATGAGTTTGAAACATACAATTGTCTTTGTAGTGTACCATTCGTATGTGTTGATTATTAGAAAAGAACTCTGTTTATATTCCATTGGCCATAAATACAATGTATAGATGACACAAGTGGGTTTGTGAATTATGGCTTGCAATTTGATCTGAGCTAAAAATCCTTGTCTGGAATTACAGGTTGAAGGAAAGACTGTGAAGGCACAGATCTGGGATACAGCAGGTCAGGAGCGATACCGTGCTATCACCAGTGCTTACTATAGAGGGGCTGTGGGTGCTCTCCTTGTCTATGACATAACTAAGCGGCCAACTTTTGAAAATGTCCAAAGGTGGCTCCGTGAATTGAGGGACCATGCAGATTCGAACATTGTTATCATGATGACAGGAAACAAGTCTGACTTGAACCATCTTAGATCTGTTTCAGAGGATGATGGTCAGACCTTGGCTGAGAGGGAAGGTCTCTCATTTCTCGAGACATCAGCATTGGAAGCAACCAATGTTGAGAAGGCATTTCAAACTATTCTTACCGAGATCTACCATATTGTAAGCAAAAAAGCACTGGCAGCTCAGGAAGCAGTCTCGACTACCCTGCCTGGTCAAGGAACCACTATCAATGTTAGTGATGCTTCTGGGAACAATAACAAGAGAGGTTGTTGCTCTACATAAAAGATGACACCTAGGAGAGGAGGGGAAATATTTTCTGGATGCCAGACCTTTTTATTTTTCTTTTCTTTAGTTTTTTTTCTTCTTCTTTTTTGGGTGACAGGGAGGCATGTAGAATACAATTTACTTCGTTGAGTTGTGATAAAAAAAAAAAGCTTGTGAAAATTAAATTGACAGTAGTATTGGTACATTTTGGGGGTCTGCTTTTACTTATGATTCACCATTTGTTATATGTTGCTTTTTATAGTGTAACTACCGAAATTTGGAATGTTAGGTAGAACTTGGCATCTCAAACTAAAGAATCAATGGAACAGATTCAGAGTTTCATTCAGGGTTTCGTTTCTAAGCCACTTCTAAAATTGTAATAGAGGCTTAATACCTTTTTATTATATCCTAAATTCACTTCTTCTTTTACCTTCTCTCCTGTATCGCTTCGCTTGCGAAGCCTCCGTGGTGGTGGCATTTGCACCGTGCATGTTTTTTTCTTCTTGTTCTGGGTTGCAGAGTTCGTAAACAGTTTGTGCTCAACTCAATCGGAAGTTCAGTTAACCAAACGTTGAATGTAGTGGTTGCCTGGTGTGTTTGCCAGTTCCTCACTAACTGAGTGGCTTGAAGTTTACGTGCTCAAAACCTGTTCAGCTCGTGAGGATGGTAGACAGAGGCATCACACTTTCCATAACTCAAGTTCTCTTAAAAGGTTAAGAGGAAAAGGTAAGAATTTAATAAGATCCAACAAAAGTGTAGGTTTTTTACCCAAAAAACAAACAGAGGATAGGCTGAATCTGAAGTCTACTATTCAATCTGTATAGTTACATGATGTATTCTGTAAGTTCTTTCACAGTAATCCCTAATTTTGCCAATTATCTGACTAGAGCTCACTGCCGGCTCCGCCTTTACATGGCAAGACAAAACCGTTTTTCCAACTGTCAGTTCCCAAACATGTAGGTCTTGAATATCCTCAACCCCTTTGATGCACTTGAGGCCTTTTTCTAGATTGGTGATATCAATATCACTTGGTGTTCTCTCCATCAGTATGCCATATATATTTCTAAGCATCGATATAGTTGTGCAAACAGCAAAAACAGAAAATATGAGTGTGCATATCAGATCAACTACTAACCAATCTGGCCTTGCCCATATGATGCCTCCAGCAATCATCACCCCAACAGACTGAATCATATCAGCAACAACATGCAAGTAAGCTCCTTGGAGGTTTATGTTTAATATTTTAGTATTTTCTGGAGAACTTGATACCAGACTAGTTTTATCATCTTCAGTTCTTGCATATTCTTCCTCCCTGTCGTGATGATGATCGGGATTATGCTCCTGATTATGATTGTGATGATGATCATGACCTAAGCCTCCACAGGCATGATGGGTGTGATCATGACCGAGCCACATGACCATGATTAAGTTGACAAGAAATCCAAACGCTGCAACTTCAAACATGAGCAATCCATTCACCTTTTCATTTTTGTGAAGGATTCTGTGAACTGCTTCATAGATCAAGATCCCAGAGACCAGCCATATTAGCTGCACAGACAGAAGGGCACTCAAAACCTCAAGACGGTGATATCCGAAAGACTGGTATGATGTTGCCTCCCAACCGGAAGCCATTACTGTGAAAAGAGCAATGGAGAATCCAGCAACATCAGTGAGCAAGTGGGCTGCATCCGTGAGTACTGCAAGGCTATTGGCTTTGACACCACCAATAATTTCTACCACCATAAACAAGACAGAGGCAATAATGAGTCCACAAAGTTTTTTTGCTGACTTAGACCGTTCTCTTGAATCCAAACTACAATGTTCTTTTTTGAAGACAACACAAACAGAAGAGCAAGGTAACAGTGGTGGCACAGGAAGAGCATCAATTCCTTCAGATACTATTGGGATCTCAATTTCCTGAGACTCTGTTCTAGTGAAGGGTACCTCCTCATGTTCCATCTGCTTCAGCAAAGTCATGGTTAACACTTAATTTCTTAAAAGAAGAGGGGAAAATATAATAAAGAGATTCAATAATATGACTAATTGATTACGCTCATTCAAAGACAAATAAGCCATACTTGAATGTTATGGAATGAAGTTTCCACTGGTTTACTTCAGTAAGAAAAAAATCAGAACATACCATGTCAAATACTCCCAGATCTCTTATGAAATTAAATGTCAACTTTTAACTGTTTTGGCATTACAGAACAGGCTGAGATCAAGGGCTTGAATTCAGCTGTGAATATAAGCAACAGTTGATGAACTTCTAACAAGTTTGGGACTTCAAAATATATAGTTAACCATATCACTTTTTGCCCCCGATTTTTTTCCCAGGTGTTCAATTAGAGTACACAAAATCATCAAGTTTCAACCACAAAAGTACAAATATGAATTTATGGGATAGAGCAAGAAAAACAAAATTACAATTCATCTTTCAAACTCTCAATTCTTTTGAAACACCAAGAATTTCCAAACCTCAAGATTCAGAAAAGTAGTTAGTTTCAAATCTTAGTCCATCAGAGCTGATAAGCAACAAAATCCATTCACACATCAAAAAAACAGCATCAAGTTCAGCAAAAATGAAGCCGCAGAAAGGCAGGTTACCATATAGCAAAACTGAGCAGCTGTGCAAGCTAGCTAACATACAGCAAGCTAGCACACAGCAAAGTGAGCTGGCACCAAGCCGCTCAGAGCTAAGTCACATGCTAGCTCCAATCCAGCTCAAAGACCACATCAGCTAACACTGCAACTAATGCAACAGGTTAAATTAAGCTGCAGTTAGTTTCTGTTGGATTAATTACTGGTAGGGATTTCTTCTACTTAGATGGAAATTTCTAATGGTTCGGTTAGCTTGGTTTCATTGTGTGTATGACTGGAATCCATTTGATTATTGAATGGATAATTCTAATCCTTCCTTTTTTTTGGGTAGCAATCTTGGAATTATATCAAGAACCACCTCCTGCATCTCTCAAACCCTTCATTTCTTGACCTTCTGTCCGAGTGCTGCTAGTACATCCAATAACAGCAAACTTATTGCTTCAACTACCAAAGGACATTTGACCTTGGTTTATTCTCAGTCATTTGTAAAAAGCACAGACCAAAAACCACCCTGCGTTTACACTATGTACAATGCCCTCTTGAGCATATACTAAAGCAAAGATGATAACATAAAGATAGCACTTCAAAATTCCAAAATCAAAACTCTGCTTCTGTACAACCAGAAGAATATCACTATATCAGCTGGTTCTATCAACTCACTATGTTAGACCCAGAAAATGGATTGCATGATTTTCTACAATCTCATGCTTCTATGTGCCTCACCAAGAATCCAAAAACTCAAAATCAGTGGTGCTTGCTGATCATAAAGAATCAATTTTAACGCCCTGCTCAATCCCAAACATTCAACTTCGCAACACACCTAATTATTAACCTAAGAGACCCAAAACTTCAAAATGCATGAACTACCATTATGCTTTATTTGATACAATCATATAATCAAAATCCACATGAAAATCCAAATAGCCACTTCAAAAAAAAATCAAAGAATCCAAAAAGTTAAACAAAAATATACAGATTTTTTTTAAAAAGTGATCAATTGGAGGTACCTGAGAATCAGAGGAGAGCGAAGAACAGCTTTGATGGGTCTCTTTGGGGTCTCACAGATTTAAAAAGGGTCAATGGAATT